TATTATTTCTTTGGAACTCTCAATAAAATGTAATAATTATGAATATTCATCATGTTTGTATTGACAACTCATAATATACATAGATTTTATAAATTTATATGTTCAATTCCTTCAATTCCTGAAATAGATTTATATTGAAATATATTATCTATGTTATCTTTGCTAGTTATAGGTTATCCATATTAAACAATCTTATCATTCATGTAACAAGTTATGAAATATTTTTTATAAAATTAGATTATTTATTGTTTATTTATTTGGAGTAAATAGTGAAATATTATTCATATGATTAAGAAAAAATATTGCTCTTGCCTACATAGTTATTTATAACTATATGTTTTTTTACTATAATTATGTTATCCGAAAATTACAAAATATATTAATACATGTAAGTCGAAATTTTATTTTCTCTTGAAAAGCGATGATAATTTATCAAATGCAATAAAAACTGTTCTCATATATTTTTTAAATACAAATAATAATGCTTATTATTAATAAGTAAAATTTAACTTTAGTGAAATGGAAAAATGTTTTTGAAATTGAGCAACACTGTCTGTACAATTTATTAAAGTGACTAAATACCAGTCTTATGTCTTCAGTAAAATTAATTTGAATAATTAACACATTTAATATGGTGATATGTTTTTATTAATATTTAATCATGGAAATTGTATGAACGTTTATCAAGTGGCAATTTAGTGATTGTTAATAATAATAGCAACATTCAGCAACAAGTCTATTTTAATATTGAATTTATAAACTTCAATTATTTAATTGATTTTATTTATTGAATTAATATATATAATATTAAAAAATGCATTTATAATTAATTAGATATTAAATTGAAATTATTTACTTTCGTAAATAATACGTCAATCTATCATGTGTAGATTGTTAAATATCATGTGTTTATTTCAAAACGTTAATTTTGCCATTATAATTATTTTTATTTCATTAATCAAAATATATTTAATATTGTTTTTTAATTCTGACATTATCCTTATTTTGGGAAATGTAATATTAATGAAAAAGTTTTTAACGAAAAATTACTATCATAGCTACACAAGTTAATTCAAATCAATATATTAACATTATAAAATAAGTAATGTAATTAAAAAAAAATTTTAATTTAATTTATAAAGAAAAGAGAAGTAGAATATATAAATTAATAAGAAAAATTACTAAATTATTTGATTATAAGAAAAGATTTTCCATTTTTTGTTATTATTTTACGGAATTCTGCAGTAAAAATGCAGATTGTAATAAATATGATATTATATTACATTTAATTTTCTACAATTGCTAAAATAATAAAACTATGTATTATCTATAGCTTTTCTGATAAAATATTGATAAATATCTTGGGATTCAAAACTTCATTTAAGTTTCTTCTTCCCTTTTCTTTACGTCGAATTTTAATTTTAATACTCGGGGATTCTATTGTCTCATGAGAATTCTCCGCGTATCATCTATACGGCTTATTTAAATAAATCATAATTCTTTAGTATATAATTGTATTTACCCATTTTTTATGATAAACGATTGTTCTATGAACTCATTTACTCAATGTTCTTTTTATGCCATCATATATGCCATCCAATTCCCCTTCGAATTTTAGATTTTATCATCACTTATCGGCATTGATTTACATATTTTTTGTTTAAAAAATGTAGTATTTAAATCACAGTATTTACTCACAGTATTAATGATTCTTGATTAATTATTATTTAATAATTTTATGATAAAGAAACTATGATAAAGAATCTAATTATTAAAAGTTATTTAAATATTCAGTAATAATAGTAATTATTATGTTTACTGATACTTGAGAAGCTGTTCAACGTATTAATACATAATTTTATTAAAATTTATAATTAACAATATGGATAAAATAGTGAACAAATTTTACTAGATTTGATCAAGTTATAAAAATAATATACTTCACTATTTATTTCGAAGCCAATATTAATGTTATATAATGTTATAATACGAATAAATGAGTAATTTTTATGTAATAACTAATCTCGAACTTTTATTTTATGCCGTATGAATTATATTTACATTTCAAGCATGATTTCAAAATTTAAAATAAAAATTTATTATATTATGTTTTATTCTTTTAATATTAAATATAAATTTATAATTAATCTCCTTAAAGTTGAAATAAAAAAAATTAATTATTTAACGATATTTTTACACATCAAAATTATATATTAAATAAAATAATTAGAATTGAAAATTATTTGATAACAAATGACAATATTTTTCATAAATAAATGCTGGCTGCATTAAGAGTTTCAAGATTATAGGATATAACTAAAACTCTTACTTTTTAATATAAAACTAACCGGTTTCAAGACAAAATTTGATAACAATACAATACAAAGCATCTGTAAAAAATTTTATTTAAAAATTATCTTTAAAGAGATTTGTAAAATTTTCTAGTACATTAATGAAAATTAAAATCTGATAATTTTATTGCTATATATATATATATATATATATTTTCAGTATTTTCTACATGTTTTTTTCATTTTATTATTATTAAAAAACAACCTCTAGTGTACAAAGTAAGTTTTTGTATAGATTGTAAATTTAATAATTTTCTTATCTCAAGTTAAAATTTCTATTTGACACTTATTAATAGCTAAGAATTGAAAAAAATAAAAATTATTTTAATATAATATAATATTAGATTTATCATTTGGATTATTTATACGATTAAATAAGAGTTTTTATTATTGTTTCCTCTAATTTCTGCAAAATATGCTCATATTCAATTATTTTTATTGCTTGTTTTAAAGCATAATTTGCGCATTAATTTTTTTATATGTTTTTTATTTATCCATGTTGACATATAGGATACTGATATTTTAAATTAAATTTTTAAGCCTGAATACGTGCTAAGGAAATATTATTTCAGTCATTGAATTTATGATTTAATGTGTAAATAAAGAGCATATGTTATTCATATATTATTGAATGATTAAATTATTCTATAATGATTATTTTGTCAGTAATTAAAATTTTATTCTACTTACATTAGATAATTACGAAATAAACGCGATTAACATTCAAATATTTATTGCAAAAGTTTTGAAATATAGGCTAATTATATTTTAATTTTAATTATAATTATAATATAGGCTTTTGAAAAATAGGCTACATACGAATATAATATCTTTCTGGTAATAATTAAATATCTGTTTTAAATAATTATTTGCAATGAGATTTTATTATACACGATGTTACAAACGATGTTAAGAAAAATTTTACTTGTTTTTGTTTAATAATATTAAATCAATCCGAATAATTTGGTTTATTTTAAATTATTAATTTCTAATTATAATTATAATGCTGAATATTATATCTATTAAATTATAATAAATATATATATTCTTCTCAATATCTGTTTGGTTTTGTTAAAAATATTTACCTAAGTAAAAATGAAATGAAAATCTTTTATAAGTCAATACTCAAATCATTTTATTAATATATAATATTTTTTCAATATAATACTTAAATTACGTTATTAAGAAAAATAGAAAAAAAAAATAAGATATTTTTCTGTTCAATTATAATTTTAACTTAAAATTGAAATACTTGGATACGTTTAAAAATGAATATTTTCATTGTTTTTATGACAATTCATAAGAGAATATTACATGGAATATTATAATAATTTTAATTATTATTTTGAAGCTGTCAAATAATGCTATGCATTAATTTTGTTGCAATGTTAAAGTAATCATCCATTAGCTTTTATTTTTATTATTTGAATTTCAGTAAGTTTATAATTACAATAAATATAATTGTACTAATAAGTTGCTTTTATTTATAAATAATATTTCTTTATATGTATTTATTGATTTAATTAAATTTATTTATACAATCAGTATAATAATGATATAATATATTATACGTATATTAATATTAATATTAAAAAGCATTACAGGTATTAAAATAAAATTTATAGAATATGATTAATTTATCGACTCTAATTTAACTGATTTTATAATTAATGGCTTCTATATAACATGTTTTGTTAAAACACCTGCATGAAAGAAAATAACTAATTTTAATTTAACGAATGTAATGTAAGTATTTATCACTGAAAATAATGTAAAATACAATGTTGTATAATTTGTTGATTTACAATATCGAATCAAACAAAATCACCCTGGTTTTCTCCATTAAAAAATTAATAAATTTATGAAATGAAAATAAGCTTTGAAAATACATGGCTTATGGTTTGGTTTTAAAAGTATTCAGTTATTTGAAATAATAATTTTCAAAGGAAGATGCATTAAATAAGAATAATAAAAATTTAACGATAAGCTTAAGAGAGTTGAAGATTGTTTACAATGGAAGAGCATTAAAAATATGTACGAAAATACATATTGAACACCATTATAGTATTCTATAATAAGTAATATAATAATGGTCAGTAAATTAGGGAAGCTTAACGATCAATTTTGAAATCTTAAGATTATTTAAATTATTTAGTTTGCTCGAATCGGTTAACGACCCGGAAAGCGAGCGTAACCATTCGTCAGTGTAAAACGAGGTTCACTAAAGATTAAACTTCCCTTTCATTTGTAATAATAGCTCGAGTAGTTAAGTATAAAAATGCCGACAAGCAGAACAGCGAGACAGAGAAGACGGAGATGGGAAAATAAGCGACGGGAAAGTTTTTTCGTTCAGCGACAATGGTTACGGGATAGATGCAATCATTGCTCAATCGTCCAAGGAAGCTACACAGTTGGCTAATAGCGAGGAAGCAAGAGCAGAAGCACAGAGGAGCTGGATACAAAGGTGTGCCTTATAAGAAAGAGAGAGAGAGAGAGAGAGAGAGAGAGAGAGAGAGAGAGAGCGTGGATTCCACGAGCACAAGGCGTCTGAATCGATAAAAAGTGTGGCGAGCCTCTTGCCCAGTAGAGCAAGCCCAAGTCTGGTCGGGCGCGTCGGTGGTGGCTGCTATTGCCGCCTCAAAGACTTACTTTTCTCGGGGGCGGTTGCATGGCTGTGGGCGCGGGATGGGCGTCCGGGGGCGGCCGGCGTTCCTCGTGAAGGGTCTGAAACCTGCGCCAGCACTCGTGACACTCGCCCCGGAAAGGCCACCCGCGACACTGCCGCGCGCCCTCGACAGCAGCGAACCCGACACCCCGACATCCACTTTATTGATCGGGCTGGTGCGCCGTCGCGGCTCAGGCGATACCGGCGCGCGTCTCCTTTGCGAGGGAGCCTCGATCGCGATTTACTCCAGTGCTGCGTGATCGCGGCTTAACTGGGAAGCGGTGCGCGGGCCTTCGCTATTTTCCACATTTACTTTGGTATTATTATAATGCCAGCCTCTGGGTAACCGAATTCAACATACCATGTGTATGGATGCGATGTACTTGACAAAATTTTCGATGAGATATTTAATTTATATGGCACCTCCTTTACCAGAGATCATTGTTATTAAAAAAGAGTAAGATAAAATATATTGAAATGAAAGGATTGGTACAAACTTGCATTACATTTTTCATTCAAACTCATTTAGCGATAATTGAAGTATTTTTATATCAGTTATAATACGTTTAATGAATTTTTAATATATTTTATTGAAAATTCGTGCGAAATACACATCTGATTATGAATATAAAATATTGTTGGAACTTACTTAAATGTTATACAAATATGTAGAGCAGTAATTTTTAATATATACAATCATTGTGGAAACATTAATGACGTTATAAATTTAAATTAATAATAGTTGTAATAAATAGCACAGATTTCATATAAATACAATGTATTGTAATGTGAAATGTAATATAAGTTACAGATAAATTTTGTTGTCAGTAGAATATAAGGTGAATGTAATATCAAAGAATAATAAGAAAGAAACAATACAAACTGTACAGAATTACACTTATTTAAACTTTTTATTCAGTATATTCGTAGAGATTGCATTGATTTCTTTTATTAAAAATTCAATTTTCAATTACTTTTATTACAGATACTTTGATTCGTTGAATTTTCGTCGTAAAACTTACAGTGTAATTTCATTAAAAAATTGTCGATATTATTTTTAGAAACATTCATACGTATATGCAATAAGGATACAAATAGTGTGCAATAGGTGATTTTGGGTATAAATTAGCCACTATATCATTATGAAAATTGAAATTAATTATATACAAGCACTTAAGTAGACGAAATTCATTCAATACTTTCGATCAAGCACCTTTTGCTTAATGCACCTTAAAGTATTCCTTTTTTTTTGTATAAATTCCATTGTTTATGTTTAGATCGTAAGCTTTTAATTTTCAAAATTAAATAGCGTAGCATCAACGTCTACACTTTCCATTACTATGTTAATTTACTGCTAAGTCCTATCGATTGGTATAACTCGTTTTATTTACGACCATAACCCAATGGACTGAAATTTAAATGTTGGTTGCGATTAGTTTGATTATTATTATTTGAAAAGTAGGAAAAAATCGAAGAATATGATTTTGAATGAATAATTAAATTATTATTGAGAAATAGGCAATCTCGTCTTTTTGAAGTACTGTAAAATAATTATTTAATCGGTTTATTAAAACGCTTCGGGTGAATTTTTTCCTTCGAGGATTGTAATGGTAATTTTTTCTATCCAAACAATTTTGTACTCTCAATTTTTCGTTAAATAAACATATACAAAATTCAGAATATCAACACGAAATGAAATTAATATTCTAACCTATTCATAAATTGCTCATTATTGTTCTCTATTAATCATATGATTACCAATATAATTCATAATTCTTAATAATCGTTAAAATTAATTAAATCTCTAAGTATTAAAATAATTTTTATCTTATGTACAAATATTCTTTACGTATTTTATTTACTAATTACAGTTGAAAAATGCAGTATGTCACACATTTCTATTAAAAAAAAAAAAAAAAAAAAAAAAAAAAAAAAAAAAAAAAAAAAAAAAAAAAAAAATTAATAATTCTTGTCTGATAGATTAAAAAGCAACAAGATAATAAATCAGTCTGTACTAGCGTCATTTAGAATATTTCACATTATAATTATATTTTGTTCTTGTCTCTGCTTACACTTTATATTCGAAAATCATGTTGCTTACAACTTAGCGAAGTTTATTATATTTTACAACATTATTGAACACTTTAAGTTACAATTAACGATTATTTTTTGGAATTATATTTTAATTAAATTAACTTATACATATAAAATATTTTCACTTTAAGACGATTGCAGGATTGACCGATTGACTTCTACAATATTTTTTTATTTAGTAGAATAAACTATATAATTAATTATCCTTTTTTAATCACAAAGTCTACGTTTTACAATACATGAATTACAATACGAAATTTCAGCTTTTCTCGAAGATTAAAATTCGATGGCTTTTATGTAATGAAAAAACGTTATGTACATCTTCTAGAAGGGAAAATATGATTTTAATTAATTATATCACGAATTACTGTACACCTTTTAAATGCTAATGAGCAATAATTACTTTTTTTAAATTTTAGTTAAAAATTGATTATTTAGAATTGCACAATGCACAGAAAGAAAAGTATTATTTCGAAAAAAAAATATTCTATTTAACTATTCAGTTCTTTATTGTTAGAATTGTATTCTATTTATTTCTTTTTTACTTTTGTGTCTTAATTTATAACCTTTTCGTATTAAAATTTCCAAAACTGTTTATCGTCTAAAAGCACTTAAGAACATTATACATATATTGTCTTATATGCATATTGTACATACATTGTACGAAATTTAATTTCAATTTAAAATAAAAATTGAGTACGTATCTGAAAAGGTAATTGCGTATTGATTTAAACAGTCTATTCTTATAATAATAATAATAATACAAATGTGTTAACTGTATTAAGAGTATCACTATATTCTTGTAGAACACTAATATTTACTATACTGTAAACATTCATTTATGTTCATCTATCTCAAAAATTTTTCTCCGTAAATCGAGTGACTTAAAACAATAAGTATATTTTATAATAATCATTAGCAAATTTAGTAATAGATATGTTTAAACGATAGTTTTCTTTAATTTTAAATATAAAATAAACGTAATTTAAAACTTTATCTTCAAGATTAATGGTTTTAAATTTAGGCAGTAAGTTATTTCTTATGATAATTTTTAATCGTTATTATAGAATACAAAGAAAATTTTTACTGTTTTTTTAGGCACTGATCTCGAACTTCAATGTTTAATTAAAAGTGCTATCGTTCGATGGTTTTTTGTGTTTAAATGTTTTGAACAATCCTTAAGTGGAGCATGAAATTTAATTTAAGTTTGGTCGTTACATTTTAATTGAACTGATGACGGAAGCTTTGTTTAACCTTTGTCTAAAATTTTCCACATATTTACATTACAATTTTATTGACTTCGCCGTGTTTTTTTTTTTTTAAATTTTAAATAGAGAGATAAATAATATGATTTTCAATAATTCTTCTTTAATATTAACTTATAGCTTCTCTTTCTTATTTTTAATTCAATTCAATAATAAAAATATTTCGATCATCTTTACCATACGATTAAAATTATTTATCCAATAAATATAGTAATAAAAAAAAATTAGAGATAACATATACGGGGGCACAAAGCGAGCGATTTATGTTTGTAGTCATGAAAAATTTTCGTATAATATTCGCGGCCGTTTAACGCAGGGTTTTAGTCTTTTTCTTGCAGGGAGGTTTCTTCTTGACGAGGGTTCCATTGTTGAAGACGCCACGGCGCTGTTCAGTCCTACCGTTCGACTGCTGTCGCTTCGATTGCTTCGCCAACAACTCAGGCGCTACTCAAAGCTGTTGCTGCGGTTCGTCGGTACCTGCGAATTCTTGTTCCGCTGCCGCCAAACTCAAGGCTGCCGCACCTTCCATGTCTGCAATCCAGCCATTGCTTGCATAAAAATGATGATAATGCCATCGTTCTTGGCAAATAATAAAAGCGAACCTTTAAAGTTTATTTAATCGGGCCGTAATTAGTATCGGGATAAGAGATTCAGTTATGAAACCGATGAGAGTATCGTTTTTAATCCTAATTTACCTCATATAAATATCTATAGTCATTGATTTTCACGTTAAACGCTCTACTGTATTATCAATACAACTTAATTATAGAATCGATTTAGCTCCATTTTACTTAAAGATCATTTTGTTTTATAATAATTTTTTATTTATAATTACTCCATATATACATATTTAATCAAGTTTTTAATGTAATATATTTGCAATCCTTTCATTGCGTTCGATAATTTCAATGTTATAAATGAGATAGTAAGAATTTCGTCATGCATAGTGAACGAGACACAGTCATTTTGTTAACGTCGCTGCCATTGCAATGTACTCAATCAGACTGTGGGGCTCATGCGATTTTACCTTGGTCGACTCCCACAGCTAGGGTCACGTCCGGCTGTATAGGCTCGGAAGATTGCAGTAATGCTATGGCGTTGATGGGATTGCCTGCGGAGTCGAGTACGGGATCGGCGGTCGCCTCGGCGAGATTCGTTACCGACTTTGATTTAACGCACTGAAAGTCGACGTGGCGGCTCTTGGCTTCTTCCTTCTCCCAGGACATGTGGATGAATGGCCGTTGAACGTAATTGTAAATAACCTCGGCGCGTCCACCCGCCCGTTTTTTCACTTTCTCTTTGTATGTAGGATATCCTTCCACGCCTAGTCGGATCTTCTTGAGGCCGCGTTCTTTCATCACTTGTTTTGCTACGTCGCGATTCTCAATGTATTTGAAGAAACGGTACATTACGGTGCTATTAACGGCTGCATAAAAAAAAATAAAAACATGGAATATACGTTATTCAATAGCCACTGCTTCAATAGCTTATCGTTAATATTATTAATTAGCGAAAGATGATCACTTTGTGTAAGAATTTTTACGATTACTCGGAATAAGTGGATCAATAAAAAATAATTACTTATTAATTGGTGAAATTTTAATTTTCCTTTTAAATATATTCCCAATTCAATATGTGTGCAATATGCACATTGAACAATACATGCAATGATTGCAGCGAAGGCAATAATTGAATTTTATTCACTAAATAATATTCTATTAATATCTAAATTTATTTATGGAATTATTTTAAAAATGTACTTCATACTTTCTTTAATTATCCGAATAAAGTTTCACTAAACAAATTTAGCGATCGAATATCAGCCATGAAATAAAAATTACTTTTTTATATCTTACTTGCAGGACAAATAAATCCGTTTACATAAAAATCAATTATTTTTCATTATATTCGATTAATTCAGAAATCTGAAAATCTATTTTTTTTTAATTTTAAATCATTGCTTCTATTTTATTCTAAACGACATTTTACGAATACTTTGTAAATTATCTCTCATATAATTATCTATATTTACATAAAAAAAACAACAACAAAAAAACAAAAACAAAAACAAAAACAATACAAAATAACAACAATAACAACGACGAATCGCAAAATTATTCAAACTTACTTTGGGAATATTCCTCACCCATTTGAGGAGGATACTCTTCGTCCCAATCGACTACATCGTCATCTAAAAGCACGACAATATGACACTCGCGGTCACCTCGTTGTGCGCTGTTCACCATTAAAGGTAGTATAAGATCTTCCAAAAATACTTCAAATTGACATCGAGCTCCTTCGTTGGATAATTCGTGTAGCAGACCTCCTAAATAATATATAAAAAATTGTATTAGTGAGAAATATTGAAAAAAAATATACTTGGAATATTTCACAATAAGATAATTATTGGGATGTTAAATATTTAACGGTATAACGAGCTTAATACGACATTAAAGTGCAGCAAACACGGCCATGTCAACGACAAGAATACAGTCTTTTGCGTAGACTAAGAGAAAGATGCTAATACATTATGATATAATTGAACTCGCATCGAATAATCTGGATTATCCAAAGCAAAAAGAATTTTGTGGCTAACACACTATCGCCGGTGAATTTATCGGTAGAGTAATGAACAAAAATTGGCTGTCAATCGTGCAAAAGGCGTGTACAAGGTCGTAGTGGCCAAGCCTCAACTCACTGAGATTCTGGCATTTGACGGTGCTCGCGTCGAAGGGCACAAGGAGGTAGTCGCAGGCTTCGCGCAGCTCCTCCACCGTAACCGTAAGTGGACAGCGTATGACGCCGCCCTTGTAGTACTCGAGGATGGCCCGAAAGACCATGGCGGAGATACCCTCGGCGACCTCGTACTCGCCCCGCTCGTTCGCCTGGGCGAACTCGATGCCCGAGCTGAACATCCGGCCGAGCATCGTGTTCGGGTGAGCGGTGAACAGTGCCGGGTCAACCACGAATCTGTAACGGCGGCTCTGCTCATTAATACGGTCCAAATTAATCGGCAAGTGGCTTGACGATGGTTGTTAATCGTATCTTTTCATTATCATATGAATTTCAGTTGAAATTCTGATGGTGAGCTATTGCAAGTACTTGGGCAATTCCAAGGATGCAATTCAATTTATAATTAGTACAGAGTACGTGTGTTAAATACGACATTGGACAATGTTTATCATGTCAATTATTAATTTTAATAAGAATAAATTAAAATTATTATTAAAAATGCATCTCGATGGAAAATCATCTTTTACTTAGTATTTATTGTACGTGATAATACATCATGCGACAATTGTTACAATCAAACATTAATAGCGGAAACTTCTTAAAGTAATAAATAAGAAATTTATTATATTTATGAAAAAAAAAAAATTATCGTTTATTCTTTATATCATCGAGGAAGTTGTAAAAGTATAAAAGGGAGCTTTTGCTTTTGCTTTTGCTTTTGCTTCATTTTGCGACGGTCGTGCGTCGTATCTCTCTCACCGTTACTTGTCATCCCGATATTATAATAAAGACGCATTTGATTAATCAAATTATATTATTATCAATGTATCTTTATTAATATTCAGTATTTCTCTATTGACTTCGGTATCACGCGATTGGGTGCCAAGTTGAACCATACATAATATTAATTTTCGACATTTCACATGACTATCCGTACGTTAGAATATAAAAATATCTTAAATCGATTAATACGACTAATTATTTTTATTATTTTCTTACCGAATATTATCAACAATTAAGGTAATTCGTTCATCACTACTTTGTTGATGTAGGGTAGTTCCAGATGAGGAGTTCATCCCTGATGCTACATTTTCACGATTTTGAGTTTGCTGATTCTTTGTCAGTCCCATTCCTGAACGAATTCTAAAAAATAAAAATTATTTTGATTCTTACCAGCCTTCTGCAGGTTTTAGATAATTATTAAGTAAGTAAGGTATTTATTTAGTTTATATATCACTTTAACTCTAATAAGTCAGAATTCTATTTACAAGTTCAACTTATGCAAATGAATGATGATGAGTTTATTGAATGAAATTTAATGAAAAATAATCTGAGAAACAAAAATTCGAAATGAAATTTACCTGTTATTTTCTGCTAAATTTGTATCTTGCCTGCTTGTTTCGTATGAACGACTATGATGTTTGTTGTTTCCATTCCGATGTGTCAAACATGACTTTGGTTTGGTTGAGCCACCACAACTACATGCAAAACAATCACATTTCCTTACTAACTTCCTATATTATTATTGTTGAAGCTGGTTTTATTTGGGATCTCGAACATTTCCAGGGCTTGTTGAAAATCGAAGTCAGAAATGAAAATGTATTGCTAATGATGTATGAAATTCAACTGTGTAAATAAATTTCTAGATTTTGGCTCAAAAATCTCAATAGAATACAGTTTTTCGTGTTACTACTATTTACTTTTAATTATCATATGATCATAGTATCAGAGTTCAAGATAAATATATTAGTTTAACTATTTAGTAATTAAGAATTTCAATTAAAGAATTATAATTTAATAAATGTGACCTTATTTCATTTGCGAAGATATTTTTATGAAAAAGTTAGCATAATAAATTAGTATATAATAAATTAGAAAAATCAATAATTGAAATGTTTATTAATAGAAGTAATTTCAACGCTTAATTTTATTATGATGTAATATGAATTTTATATATTGCACAGATACATTTATTTCATAAGATGTATGTCTACATATAATGAAATATTATTTTTTCTTTCTTTGTATCATTTAGCCATGCTAAATATGGCTCTCCTTTAGGTAAATAACTTGTTTTCTTTTTTCTTATTTATTGTATGTACCGCTATTGTATTTTAAGTATTCTTAGTTTATTTATAGTTTTGTGCAGTTCAAATTATCTTTCGTGCCAAAATCAATGATAATTACCAATGATCAGCCGAGCCTGGAAGTAGGACGTCAAAATCCTCCTTGTTCAGAACCGATGCCTCTACTTACCAAAAATAGCATCGCCAAATAAAAATTTTAACAAAGAAGAATTTCTTACCTTAATTGATTTTTGTATGCTTGTCGTCTTTCACGTTCATCCGTCTCCTTATAATCTGTTTCTGTATCACTACTACTGTCCTGAAGGTAATTCAAACGTTCTGCAGGATTTGACATTTCGCGTCTCCTTAATATAATATAGAAGAATAAGCAATTAGTTATAACAATTTAGAAATTAGAGGCGTATGATATTTTAGAAAAGTTTTCTCTTTAGTAGTTTTATACTTCATAGGAAAATGGATGAGCAAAAAATGATAACTTAAAAATATGATAGTAATGGACTGTTTGATAAAATAAAAAACAAGCTGAAACATAAGATCTTTCGCTACTTTAAACGAGTAATATTTTTTGTAGTTTATAATATTTTATCGAAAATATTTATAGGAATGAGTAATGTTACATAAGATGTATAGACGACAAAAGTAAAAATATTCTTTATTCACAATAATAGTTTGGATAAATGAATTAAGCTTAATTTATTTATTATAGATCGATTAGTGTAATTTAATTGATTTACTATTAGATATAATAGATTTAATAATGATACTTAACATTTTTTTAAAAACACTTTAATTGAAATTTATATTATAAAGTTAACTGTACTCTATATATACAAAGGGAAGTACTTGATTTTATCCATTCTATTCGTAGCCAAAAGTTACTCATACCACTAACTCGTGTCTTCCCATGAAGTATTGCAACAATATTATAATACATGGATAAAACTTTATTAAAGTCTGCGCATAATTTCTCTTACAGACGCAGGTTCTTGTCCTTGTGCACTTCATGGATGTTCTATTTTGTTTGATGTTGTAGTTTGACAATACAATTTCTAATCGAGTCTAGCCAAGCAAGTAGCAAAATGGAAGAATTTTAAAAGTATAAAAACAGAAAAATGATTAAAAGAAGTCGAAAAGGGGATAAAAATATGAAAAACAAAACAAAAAAATGATATGTACAAAATGATTTACAATGTAAGATTTATAAAATTGAATTATTAATTGATTTCTACTTTCACTGATATTGCAATTTGCTTTATTACATTCACTGTAATAAATAATTGATAGTCTAATTTATTATTCACACCGAACTCTCTGCACTTGCGCACGTTTACAAAAATGTCTATACATTAGCAACGTTCAATTGGCATAACACTTATAGAATGTTAAATTTAAATTTCCAATGGGGAGTCCTACTTAAGCAATCAATAATAATACTCCGACAAGGCTAGTTCACGGAATTCCCAAATTAATTTCAAAATTTTCGACATCACATCGTTCAACGAACGCGGTACAATATTCATGAAAGACAAAAGCCAATTGAAGATGAAACGAATGTGATAAGATACGACGAATGGTGACGCAAAATTGCGCTGTTGCTGTGTGCGAGCAGGTATTCACTCATATGGGGAGTACGCCGACAAAGAGGTACTCGAGCAATGTACCAATTCTGCCATCCAGACTGTGGAAAATAAATCCTAATCTCCTCGTATTCGGAAGTGTTGGTAAATGAGTAAAATAAAAGAAAGAAAGAAAGAGAGAAAGAGAGAAAGAAAGAAAGAAAGAAAAAAAACAACAAAAACAACGTTTCTAATAGAACAGGGTACGAAACGCGATTTTATATCTTCCCTCGGGCTTCAATTTATCGTATCGTGAATCAGCTGCTGCTTCCAAGAACAATTGCGATCGTCGTTCCCCTTCCTATTTATCAAAATTTAATCCTATAGTTTAAATTTCGATATGCGCATGTTGGCGCTCCGTTCGAATGTTTACGGTTAAATTCATACAATTTATTGGCCGATCGCCTAGTATTTATAAATAATCGCATTCTGATAAAATTTTGCGAATCAAGTTTCATTTTTCATTGCAATATTGAATTCTAGTCGGAGGATTTATTTATAGGCAGTCGACTATTTCTATCGCCTATTAACGCCAAATCAACGTGTTCTGTCATTAAAGTGGTATACCACATTTAGCTATAACATCATTAATTCAACAATAAAACAAATGTACACAAATTATGATAAGAAAGAGCAATATATTTTTAGCCTATTCTTTTATCATACGTAGTTTTTCCATTCAAAATAATATAACATCTATCGTAAAAGCATTTATAAACTATAAGCTTATGAGTTTGAATTTCATTATTTGTCGAGCAATTGTTTCTTCTTACGCAAATGAATTATAATGTTTCGTATTTCGATTAAATATTTTTTCTTACCGTTTATATACAAAATCAATGCGCGCGCATCTGTGTCACATTTGTCTAAAACCTCGTTAAAGTTTTATACAATTGTTTTGCGTAATATTAATAATTGTAGAAATGCCATTATTTTATCATTATGTTACCTTAGCCATATACAATCATGCGATTTTTATTTTATTTTTCCCGGAAATTTCCTTGCACGATGTGCACTGCCCTCTTTAGGCTGAATTATAAACAGAAAATGAGATAATAGCGATATCATGTAAAGTTGATTATTCTTAGTCTACGTTTTCTTGGTTTCTGTTAGTTTAGAATTTCGGTTATCGTAAAAAAAAAAAAAAAAAAAAAAAAAAATAAAATAAATAAAAAGAACACAACAAAAACAAACAAAAGTAAAAAAAAAAAAAAATACGATTTGGTGGTGTTGAAGGGTTCCGTGTGTTATGTTCAATTCAGAATTTTTAAATTGTCAATATTTTTGATTGGCTAGTGAATAGTGCAAGTACCAAAGTCTCCGTAACGGAGCACGACAAAAATAATTAGAACGTCATCGACGTAAAAGGATATTTTTGTCGTCTTGTGAAGTGGTGACTTTTTTTTTTTTTTACATAGAGCGTAAACGCATTGAAACAATTAACGTTTCTGCTGGCTTTTTAAATAAAAAAACTTGTAATTGTCAGTAGACCATGGAATCCATATTTCACGAAAAGGTAAATATAATTCTTTTTGTTTTTATTCTGCCTTGAATAAGTCTTGAAAAAGATAAAAAGAAAAAAAAGTCTGTATGTATACCTATTTGTATTTTAGATAGATTTAGTATATTTTTCACATAATTTCGCATTTACTATCATCGATCTTTCTTTCTATGGTCAAATTCTATGTTATTTCTATCTTGTATTCTGTTATAGCAAGAGGGTTACCTTTGCGCACAACATTGTCTTAATGCTTTACTGCAAGGACAATACTTTACAGCAGTCGAATTAGCAGATCTTGCTGATCAGTTAGATGCTGAAGAGCGACTTGCAATGGCAGAGAGTGGAGAGGATACAGACGATTACAAAAGATTTATAGAGGTAGTTGAAATGGTATTATATCGATTGTAATGTAGAGAATTTATTCTAAAATCTTTATAATTAGAGAATAAAAGATTTATATGTTTGTATCAAAGCTTTCTTTCTGTTACATACGTCGGTAGATAAATTAAAGTGTTAAAAAATATCATAAACTTTTTGTTTTGATAGAAATAATATGTTAAAATTAATTTTTACACAAATGAAACAAATCGAACAAAATTTTTACTACTTCTAATTAAACAATTTATGTTATGATATGTAGACTTGTATTCGTTGTAATAAAATATTAGCAATAGCCAGCGAATTAAAATTAAATAATTAAATTATTTTAATTAAAAGGTAATAAATAATTACTACTGACTTTCATGAGTGAAATTTGAAGACATTTTCGTTTTAGCAACCATCGGGCAACATGGACGATAGTGGTTATTTTTCTGTACAAGTAATTAGCAGTGCTTTGAAAGTTTTATTCCTTGAATTAGTTCCTTATACTAGTACAGAACCAACAGCTTTAATGGCGCAGAACAATCCATCGTAAGTTCTAAAATCGTCTCTTTTTTATTGCTAGCAATTTAAAAAATGTATTATTTAAAAATGTGTACAGTTGTTTCAAGTATTTTTTTTGTTATTAGTATTAATTATCTTGTAAGTATTTCCTTATTTTTCTAGACAAATGAAGGCATATATATGTAATTATAAAGGCCATTGGTTTACGATACGAAAACTTGGAAATCAGTGGTTTAACTTAAATTCAATGCTTAGTGGGCCGCAACTTATATCTGACACGTACCTCGCTATGTACTTAGCGCAACTTATTCAAGAAGGTATATATGACTACGTATTAATTATAAACACAAAGTTAAACGAAAATATCTTAATTTAACTCTTAATTAATCATAAGATTAATAATATTGCTTTAACTTAATTCATATTCATGTCGTTAATTAAAATTAAGGTGTTCGTTTTATTAATATATTAATAATTACATATATTAGGTTATTCAATATTCATTGTAATTGGAACATTTCCTACGTGTAAAGCAGAAGAGGTTCTTTTAGAGAATCCTATTGTAACTAATGCCAAATCAACAAATGAACATTCATCAAAATTTCCTTCGACGGGATATAGATTAAGTCGAAAATCAGAAGATGATGCAAATATTTTACAATCCCTCCAATACGTTATGGTTTCTCCTTACCTTGACAATCAGTTAGACGTAGAAATCATATCGGAATCACAGAGGCAATCAAGGCAAAGAATTATTCCAATCAGAGTGGAAGGTCGTGATCAAGTTCATACCATTGTCGATGATGAAGAAAACGATGACTTTCAAAAAGCTCTTAGTTTGAGTTTAGAGGATTATGAGAAAGAAGAACAAGAGAAGGTATTGAAGTTGAAATTAGATAATCACTCAACTTCGACAAACAGCTCTGAACCAATGAATAGTGTAGACAATGAAGAAGACGATGATTTGAGAAGAGCTCTTCAACTTAGTTTAGAATGCGTTTCATCGCCACAGACTCCAGATTCAGAGGATGTGCGTTGGCATCGTTTAGCTTATCTTAGAATGCATTCTAGAGGTCCACAAACTGAAAATTCAACAAAACTAAATACCTAACAAATTGTCTTTGTGATTTTTATTATTAAATAAATATCTTGTTACTCATTTTTTAAGCATATTCTCTATTGCACCATAACTGTGACTAACCATCAAGTTAACAGTTATCAAAGAATAAAAATTTGTTTAGTAACGGTAACATGTCCAATTACTATAAATGTAAAATTTTACGTAATAAGTAGAAGTTTATTTCGTAATTAGTTTACTAATGAAATATAATTCACATGCATTGTTTTGTTTTATATAATTCATTCAAATAACTTTATATTATATTTTATTATAAATTATATTTTATGTATATCTATATGTTTAAATAAATTGAGATTTTCAAATTATATAAGCAATTTATAAATTATGAAAATATATATTTATATGAAATTATTATTATTATTAAATAAGTATATTGTATTTTTTTAATTCTATATAGTACATAATTTATTGCATGTTCGAAAATAAGAGTGTACAAATATAATATATTCTATAAGAGCAGTATAAAGATTTTTATAAAATAGGAATGTTAAGGTTGTTGCATTATAAATAAATATGCGTTTTATAAACATTGATTATTTGAAAATATAAGACGTAATTTATCTTCCAAGAGGAGCATTTGTTTTTTTTTTTTTTACACTTACTCGCATTACGATCTTTTACAAATAATGATTGATTAAAATCCACTTTGTATTATTTTGCTGAAATAGCTATAATTGTACGTACTCGTTTCTTTGTAGATACAAACATTTTAATTCCAATGTAAAATTGAGTATAAAACATATTATAAAGCTTGCAATTGTATAAACAAATATTTCGATTTGTCACTTGCTGAACCACTTAATGTTCAACCGAATTGTATATGATGATTTACATGATATAATCTTCCATGATCCACGTAATAAAATGCTAAATGGAACTATAAAATAAATATATCAATCAGTCATATCTATAATTGGGTCTAATTTTTTTAAATTAATTTTTGAAAAAAAAATGAATGAATTATTTAATTATAATATTTTCTTACATGATTTTTTTTTAAATATAAATAAGTCTATGCTTATTTTAAAGAATTATTTATTATAGATTTCTGCTAATTATCATAATTACTTAAAACAAATTAGTTATATCTCTAAATATATATACCTTTAAAATTTGTTTTAAGATCGATTGTTAAATATAAACTAATAATATATCTAATAAAAAGAAATATTCTTTTAAAATGCTGAAACTATTAATCGGTCATTGCAGCATTTCGTTGGCAATAATTTATTGGAATTTTTAATTTAGATTTTATTCTTATTCTTATTCTCCATTAACAATTAGAGAATTGAAGTATAATATTTTTATAAGAATTTTCGGGATTAATACAAAAAATTACCATTTTTCGATTAAGGCATTATATTTTTGAACATTTATTATTCATTATTAATGCATTTTAGTTATTTTTCAGTTTGATATTAATACATTTATTAATATTAAAGAATAACATTTGGATTGGATGTAGGTAAATTAGCTTCTCGTTAACATTGTCGCTAATTTAAAGACATTATAGTCGCGTTGGATCATAAAGCAATGTTGATGTTTTATCATTTTTAAAATAACAATGGTAATAATAATAATAGCAATTATTTTTATCAATAGATCGTAATAAATAGTTAATTCTCGTATGAAGCTGTCAATTAGATGGTCTTTATCACTAAGATAGATTTTCCTAGTTGCGCGTTCATTCGATTTTCTATATTTTTTATAAACACTTTTTAAATTGATAACAATTATTGCAGATGATTACTTTTTAAAATATTAAAAGGTCCATTTGGATAGTTTGAATTGTTTTGAAAATATCTACTGATTTTAAACATCTTTCAATGATTGAATTTATTTTCAAATTCTTATTTGATTCTGTGATAACTTTTGAAAAGCTTTTTGGAAAGTTATCAAATCATCTGACTTTGAGATTTTTCTCTTATATGCTTCAAATTGATATTGACGCAGAGTAAGAAGAGTTGTGCACGCATTACTTTCTTTTTTAAAAAGTTTTTTTAAATTTTTGTATATGCACTTGTTTTGAAAAGTGCAGGAAAATCTTAGAATATCGACGATACTTTGTTGTTAAAATTATGCATATTATTATTAATTATATTAAATTTTTTATCACCAAGAATTAATTAATGGGCATAAATCGTACGTGTTTTTAAGAATGTGAACATTTTGATTTTTATTCTAATGTCGATCAATAAAAGTTTATTCAATTAAGTTTAATAGTTATTTTTTCGGTCAATTTTGCTTATCAATAAACGAAATACTTTAGAAGTTGACACATGAATACTTAAAGTGGACGTGGGATAATTTTGACATCTTCATTTTGAAAAATAGCCATTGTTATTAATTAGTTATATGATTGAACAATTGTTTATAACACTAAATCTAGTTGTTATCGTCATTTAAATCAGAAAGAAAAAAAATAATAAATGATTAATTATTAACTCCGAGAACGGTTTTGTGTTTTAATTTAATTATGGCAAATGCAAACGTATTATACATTGAAAAAACTTCATACCTTCGTATGACAAACCTTATATAATAAACATTTTTTTATATCTGTAAAATTCATTGAGAATAGTAAATATATTATACTATTGAAGTTCTTCAAGATAGTTGTAACGTTGTGTTAAATTTTTTTTTTGTCGAATTTTTTTGTAAATAAAGAAATTACGAATTAATAAATACAGAAGATGCAAGGAAATTTATAAGAAAGTTTTAATAAATAAATCTTTTATTCTTAATAAATTACACTGCATTTATATGATAGCAACATTATACTGTCTCATAAAGTGTATGTGTGAAGGCGTGGTGTGAAGGCAAGTGAAGAACAACGGAAAGGAAGGTTTATTTGTTAAATCTTTTATTGTCAGTATTATTTATCAATATTATATCATTTATTTATTTAGGTTTCTCTAGCTTATTGTTGCTGCTATTACGAATGCGCTTTTATTTTAGTAATTTATTCTTCTCAGTTGCACAGCTAAACACGCTCCTTTATTCTTTTTTTTTTTTTTATGTTTGTTGCATAATTGTTTTTGTCTGCTAGATGCGCTTAAGCACCCAAACTGTCAAAAGCTATAAAGTTTTGGATCCCGATGTCCAATGGTGAAATGCAGCGTTTACCTGTTGCTCGGCTTTGATCGAACAGGCTTTTCGCCGAATGAAAATATTATCTAGACAACTATTGTTTCATTCTAAATCCCTACTCATTTAGTATAATTTTGAATAATTTTCTCTCTAGTCCAGCGTATCCAAGAACGTGGATCCTTTGCCCTGAGAGTCTTGGACATGGAAGAGTCCGTACATTAAATATCGTAGTTTATAATTTGTTATTTACATTAATTGAATCGACTTGTTGAGAGATCGGGGTGATGTTTATAAATTGTAATTTTTTTCGATAGTGCTATTTTGACAAAAGCAAGCTGATCTCCCAAATTTTACGATCGCGCGTAATCTTTTTAATGTCGTTCGTACGCTTTGCTGCACAATATATAACGTAAATATCATCAATAATTAGGTTTAACAATTGCGCTCATTGCCTGACGACCACTAAGGAGTAATGAAGTCTGTGGTGGATTATCCAGGAGTTGAAAATAGTGGACTACTGGACAAAAATAAAAGAGAAAATAAGAAGTTGAGCACGCCGACGAAAGGGGTCGCGAGTGCGTTTAGCATAGAAATAAAGTGATTTTGAGTTGAAAGGCTGAACTTATTAGTCATAGTTCGTGACCGTCTTTTACGTGGCTGGCAGTGAACGAGGCAAGGTGCGTACTTGGGAATAAATTGTAAAAATTTGTAATGTTTGCTGTCAAGCGATATGCAGAATCTCGAAACGCTTCTCGACAAATAATATCATGTGCAAAAATCAAGTTGATATTAGCGGTCTTTCGCACAGATGCTGAAACACCGATGAGATCAGAGCGGATTTCATAAGACGTTCGCCGACAGTCGCATGTGCATTATTCCTTTCGATATTTCACGATCGATTGATTATTGATTATTTGACGGTGGCTTTGCTTGTTGAATTCCTTCGTCGTAATAGATATTTGTTTTTTGTAATTTTATGTACCTCGGTAGTTCGTAATTCGTTTGTTTATAATGTACCAATGACATAAACAAGAAGTCTCTAACCTCATTTCAGCATTTTACAATAATTTTGCATTGATAATAATAAGAGTTTTGTGAATAATGACAGTAGTATCGATAATACTTTTTACTTTCAAAAGATGTAAAATATTTTATATTCTATTTTCTTATCTGATTTTTTTCTCCTAATATTAAATCCTAAGTAAATCTCATTAATTTAGTAATTCTTATTAATCAATAAATTCTTATTTGATTTTACTTTCTAGATGTTCACAACAAATGCCAAAATTATAAAAAGCAGTGGTGCCGATCCAGATGAATTTGAGGCTAGCATATCTCAAGCTTTACTAGAACTAGAAACAAATAGTGATTTAAAATCACAATTGAGAGAATTGTATATAACCAAGGCAAGAGAAATTCAAACCAATAATAAGAAGGTAATGGATTATTTTATACATTAGTTAAATCATTGAATAGAACTTTTTATTAATCCATGTATATCGTTTGGTACCTTAATAAAATTGGGTAAGATAATTGAAACAAGAAAGTATTCAAAATATATTTATATTGATGTGACAGTACGTAAGTGACAGTGTCAGTTACGTACTTGATTATACAATTTTTTAAAAAAATTAAGAGTTTGTATAGTATTATGCATAGTCGTTAAAAATTTTGTAACTTTATCGTTTAAAAAGATTTCTCTATATTATTATTATGTATTATAGAAAATTTTATTATGCATTCGTACTTTGAATATGTAATAAATACAAAAATGTTTTGATTAATTTGTAATACAAAAGTTTTTTATGTTCATATATTGACTTTCTTAATGCAGTTAAGATTACAATAAATAAATATAACTTATAAATTGTATTCAAATTCATAAGCAATTTTAAAGTTCGATATTTTTTATAAAATACGTCTTAATTATGCACAAATTTTATTTATTATGTTATAAATATTTTATTCTAGTCTATCATTATCTATGTGCCCATGCCAAAGTTGAAGGCATTCCAAAAGATTCAGACTAGGTTAGTACGTGAATTAGAGAAAAAATTCTCTGGAAAACATGTAATGTTTGTTGGTGAGAGAAAAATTTTACCTAAACCTACGAGGAAGACTAGAATCAAGAACAAGCAAAAGAGACCAAGAAGGTACGATTAACTTTATGCAATCTTCTATATTACAAACAAACATTTAAAAAAATCACATTCTTTTTTTATATTTCACATATTTTCTTATGAAATTAATAATTATTTTATTATATACCATTAATGACATTTTTCTGATGTGATTTAATTAAATTCCAGTCGCACTCTCACAGCTGTGTACGATGCCATTTTGGAAGATCTTGTTTATCCCGTCGAAATTGTGGGTAAAAGGATTAGAGTTAAGTTGGATGGTTCACAGCTCATCAAAGTACATTTAGATAAAAATGAGCAAACCAACATTGAGCATAAAGTAATTTTTTCTTTATAATTATATAAATTTTTAAAACAAATCCTTAAATTCATAGTTTAAATGTCTTATATTTTTTAACAAAGTACACTTAATTACAATTTTCCCTGACCGATTAATAAGTAGGATTATTTTCTATTTAGGTTGATACTTTTGCTGCTGTCTATAAAGAGTTGACCGGTCGGGATGTTACGTTCGAATTCCCAGAGTCCTATGTATAAGTTTACGTTTCAATAAAAACAACTATTGAAATCTTATTTTGCTAAAAAATTATACCACCTTGTGAGTAACCCGTACAAATCCTTTCATATTGTATTATACATAAAAAAATGTTTATTTTAATTAATAAAACAGAAGTGTATAACGTAAGGGAAAAAATTTGTCTCCAATAAATACAAAATCAATTATTTGAAGAGATAATAATATTTTGGAGTACCTTAAAGTAGCCAGATTTTGTAACTAATTAAATTAAAAAAGGAAAATTAAAGATCAATAACGGTATTTTGATATTTACATATTTGTGTTGAATAATTTGCTTATAACAATTTTTTATTTACGATATAAATAGAAAAATATATATACACTACTAGACATGTATAGTTTTCAATGTTTTCAAACGTTCAATGACTTTCAATATAGCATTTTTAATGTTAACTAATATAGTTTAAATTTATAAAAATTATAAATATTTATTTTGATACTGTATACTGACTAATTATGTATTAATACTTATTGGTAATGATATGAATTAATTAAAAAGTTTAAAAATTAACAATGATATTAAGTAAAAATAATTTGACAGATTTATAGTTAAGTTTTGTACATATTTAAAACAAATATTGACCTACGACTTACATTAAAAATGAAAAGTTTGAACGTACATTTAAAAATGTAATTTACGACTTTGAAAAATGACTAATTAATGATTTTAATACATGAAATTTAGAAACATGTGTTATTAAATTTGAATAATTCTTTAGTTCACGAAAATTCAATATTTTCTTATATTAAAATAAATATTTTAAAAATACTATTGATTCTAAATTTTAATAATTCAATATAATATATTAATACAAAATTAAAGTATTCATGTGTAATGTTCGTAGTTAATATTACATAATTGTTGTATAATTAAGATCTCAAATGTTGTGTATATTGTTTTGAAATTTATTGTTTTCTCACACTTGCAAATTAATAAAAAAAATAATTTATTTAAATAGTACAAATTTATCTTTAATTAATTAAGATTGTGGAGTAGTGTTATAGTTAGTTTTTCGTTATATATAAGATGTAAGTAAATTAAAATTAAATTTAATAAGAATGAATTTTCGAGTTGCAATTTTAATATACATTTATCTTGCAATTTTACCTTGTAATGCTTAAGTTTTCTAATGACGAGAAAATTCAAACATTAAACTATGTGTGTGACATGGAAGATATTATTCGACATTAAAAGATCTTTGTTTAATTTGAATAATTATGAGTTTATATCGACAAGCAATGTTAATTGAACGAACATATCTCTTAAATATTTAAATATTTTTTTTATATTCAGAATTATTTAAAATTAAAGTATATTCAATTATACACTGCCACTCGCTTGCTTATACCACCGGTATTGTAATTTTGTAAGCTTGAGTAATATATGAAAATATCAGTAAATTTATTATTGAAACGTATTTCTTTTGTAAATTTCTCTTATTAAAAATTGACGGCGTGTTCACAAGAAATTATATTTTTTATAAAAGTTAATTATTGAAAAAATCTATAAAATTCTTTTTAATCGTACGATTTGCGTAAAATAATGCTTATAATTTTTATCAAAAAATTATATACAAAAATTACATAAGCGTTATTACTATTGTTTTCATTAACCTTTCCATGTTGTGTCAATAAATATAGGCTACGAGATAGAAGTTGTTTCAAGAATGAAATAGATTGAAGAAAATAGTTAATACTATTTTTAATTTATGGTCGATTTCAGAAATTGTTTCATAAAATTTATTTAAAATTTTTTATATACAACTGTATAATATTTGTTATAATAAAGGGAACAATTGGTGTTTTTATAGATTTTTTAATACGTAATATTATTATAGTACATTTTATGTGGTGGTTACAGATAAATTTGGTATTATTATTTCACTTTGGTTAGCAATAAATTAAAGTATTTCAATAATAAAATGTATTCATTTATTAATATGATAATGCGATTTAACACGTTTTTTAGATATAAATGTTAAACAAATGTAAAGCAAAGATTTATTAATTATATATAATTTGTTAATAGAAAAAAAGTTTATTCGAATTATATTTAAAATTAAAAACATTTAATGCCAAAAGAATTAATTTTTACCAATTATAATCTATTTGATATGTTTTCATTATAATAATTTTATATAAAAATATTAATTTTGGTTAATGATATAAATTCAATTACTAGAAAATTCATCAACTAGAAAATATAAAATGCAGCGGACACAAGTAGTTCGTGTGATTTCTGGATTTAACATTTGTTCAAAAAGAGAACATGAAACGATTAAATAATTACAGAGATGTTAGCGGTAAAATTAGTCGATTAGGCTAATGAAAAAATCATTTTTAGCCCATTGAATCTTCAAATTTAAAGTATACTCGTAATGTTGATTTTATATTATATTGTTCAGTTTCTCTTAAATTCATTTGTGTCAGATTTTGGACAAGTTTTATTATCTATAATATTGTATCGAAATAATTTATCAGTAAATATAAAAATGTTCAAATTAAAATCGATGAAGGTGAAGTAGTATAAAAATAAAAAATAAAAGTAATATTTTCCATTATTTTTAATACAATTTTGTAAAAGAACGTAGTTTTGAATAGTACAGTTAATTAATACTATTACCTTTATTCAATTATATACGAGTAACTAAATTGTACTGAATAAAAGGATGTTGAATAACAATGTATAAAATAAATTCTAACGAGTAAATTTAATACATTTATTTTGAAGAGTTTATTTCGTTAATTTGGAATCACATATTTAACGTTCTAAAGTATGAAATTAAATTAAATTAAATTTTTTAAAAATATATTTAACGATGTATGTTTTATTAAAGTTTTATTTCGGTAATTGATAATTTAACTTTTTTTTAAAATTTATTATACATATAATACTACTATTGGCTATATTTGAGCATCGCAGTTAAAAAATTTGTTTAACTTAAATGAATACTTGGACTCTACCTAGATTTTAATAGAAATTTAGGTATATAAAATGGTCATTCTAGTCATTTTTTAGTGTAAATTTATAGTATGGAATTTTTGTATTAATAATTTGAAATGCGTATTTATCTAAAAATATTTTAATTCTATTGTATAAACATGTTTTGTTAATACATACGTTAAATAATTAAAAATTTACATACGGTATAATAGGATATCTAAATACTGGCTGTTAATTTGTAAATAATATGTTTTTACAATAATGTCAAGAGCAAAATTCTAGCAGGATTGGATAATGTGAAAAAATTTTATACGTTTGCAGTTATAAATTAATTTCTGTAAACAACAATTTCCTCGTTCCCTTTCCTATGACAACTCTATAGCCAATGAGTGATTTTCTAAGAATTACACTATAATTTATACATTTAAATTATTACTTTTGCTTTGCAAGTAAAATAAATAGAACAATTTATTAGCTACTTTGAACTCTGATAAATATGTATTTAACTACTAGGACAGATTTAACGGAATATTTATATTGTGAATTTTTTATGCTTGTAATTATTAGTAAATGTTGAATAAAGTATATTTACTTTTAATTAAATTTAAGAAAATTTTGAAAATTAATTTATTAGAATTTTAGCAGCAAATAAAGTCAGATGCGAATTAACAATAATATTACTTTTATCTGGATGTTTATAAGCAATTTTAGAGTCTTTGCATAAACTAACTTGACAGAACATTAATAAAATTTGATTTACTCAGTTTTCAACATTAATTTGATTAATTTTTTTTTTTTTTAATTGAATGTAAATTGTTATAATTAAATTTCGAATCTCATTAAAATTAAATGATTAAGGTTTATAATAATCTGTGCAGCATTCATGATACATTAATGGTGAAATAAGTATAATTACCATTTAGAACAATAAATGATATTTATTTATGATAGCAGTGAGTTGCAGATAATTACTAAGAATTAGAATATTTTAATGTACTCGATGGTTTCATCTTAACTGCTGACTATTAATCAAATTAATATATTAATATATAAATTTAAAGTTTGTTATAATTATTGAATAACTTGATTAATTTTTTTCTTTTTCTTTTGTTTTTTTTTTTTAAACAAATCAATATTATCGTTCACTTAATTAGAAATGATAACTCTTCTGATAGGAAGTTTCATTAATGCAGCGAAGTTTACTTATGTAAGGAAATGTTTCTGCATTAATCGAATATTAATAATCTCATGAAACTTATCGGACGTTGAGAAATGTCGAACGAGTGCGTATGTAATTCAAATAACGTAGACACTTCGAAGTCGAACCATGGAATTTGGTCAATGGTTTGGTGTGAATGGATCGGGCATGCATGCACATGAATTTATGCGCATGCATAGTAAATTACTTAAGGTGTACATTATCTTAAGTACAGTCTACACGATGAGATGCGAAAAACCCGAACTTCGATTATGTCCGTTTTTGCTTTCTGTGCAAACATAAGTGGGTCAAACTTGCTCCTCCCCCCTTGACATTAAATTCGTAATACTTCATGCGAAGTTTGAGGAGTGGTGGGATTGGGTACGGATCTCTACAAGGATGCGCTCACGAGGAGATGGAAGCTCTTTTTTGCCCCAATGTCGGATCCGAAAATTCTTATCTCGTCGACCTTGAGCGTCAATCGAACAGCGCAATTCGAGAGCTCGGTGCCAGCACCTTCCCTATAAATCCACCAAGTGTATGGGCTCAGTTGGCACCAGTATGCATTGTTATTATCAGGGTGCTTTTCATAAAGATTGGAAATCGTGCGCGATTTTCGGATCGGCGCCTCGTCGTGGAAAGCTGCGGCCGCGCAAAACTCGCCGCCAGTAGTTTGAGGCGCGGTGCCGTAAGGCGCCGGAGCGAGTCCGAGATAGAGCGAAACAGTCGGGCAGGGGGGTGGTGCGGGGCCGAGGGGGCAGAGGGCGGGCTTTCCGAGGAGCTTGTGTACGGCACGGCACGGCAGTGCGACGCGACGCTGTCTACCACGCGGTTGCGCCCGTTCGACGCCACGA